CCTGCCGGAAATCCAACCGGATCCCCCGTCCGCCGGGGAAAGAGGCAACCTGAAGCCGTCCGCCGTACCTGATCGCCTGGTCCTAGAATCGTCGTCACAAAATACACGATTCGCTCTTCCCAAGCCAGGTCTCTCTCTGGTCGTTGGCTACTTTCGCCTAGCTCTGCGAATAAGCAACGTTCTTTTTGACGAGTGATACGATTTCTCCCCCTCGTGTCACCTTACCCAGTTTATTTTTGGCCACACTCCCGCCCTCGTCCCGTCTTCCTGAGCCAGCGCCCACCCCCATTCCTTTGCCTCGTCCTCCTCACCCGCCCTCGAGCGGCTGATACCCCGAGGCAGCCGTCCAACGGCCAGCTAACTGCCAAACACCATTAATTGGCCGTTATTAAGACAGTTGGCACGAACGAGTATCTTGGCCGTCTTATACTGAGCCATACTAATTCTCAAGGATGGACGTTGCTCTCCATGTGGCGCCGTTTGATGAGACGAACGACGAGCGTTGAGCCCGCCCGTCTTACGGTCTCGTCTCATCCCGCGCTCCCACTCGAACTTCAACTTCATTCTTCAGCCATCTCATCTACACGCAACACGACAGGGTTCAATCTCGCATCTAGAAGCCTCCGAGTCAAGCCTGAGCGCTCGATCGTGAAAATTTTTCCAACTTGAAAGAAATTTTTCAGCGCCCAAAGAACTCATCGCCCCGAAACAGCCAGGCTGGGGAAAAAGCAAACATCAACTCCAACACCGCGCTCAACCGAGGGAGAGCCAGGCACCCAAACAAAAACGACCACCACAAGACAAAAAAGTAACCAACGGTCAACCCTTTTCTTTCGTCACTTATACGAGATCTCCAACAAGGGAAGCTCTCTAAAACCTGTCAAAAATTAAAGTTCCAAAATTTGAGAGAGGTATCTGTCTATCTGTACATACATCCAAAGCAAGGCGCGCACCAACATGGGAAAAACAAACAATGTCCGAACAAGACCACCGCCCCGCTAACGCTTCATCCCTCGCAAGATCCCCGTCACGGAACTTTTCATCCTGTCTGACTCAATACTCAAATCATCGCAGCCTCAACTTCAGGCGACGTCACCGGTCGCAAACAGCTCCAGCTTGACTCTCTCCCTCTCGACACCCATGCCCTCGAGCGCATCTCTCACCTTGAGCATCCATTCCTTCGGCCCGCAGACAAAGTACTCGGTCCTCTTGTCTGCCAGGCCGAGCTCTGCGGTAGGCAGCTTTGCCAGATCGAGGTGCTCGTGGAAGTCGTAATGGTGACCCTTTTGATCCCCCTCCTTGACTTCGTTCAGGAAGATGTGAGCGCTGACATTCTCCCTTTGACGGGTCAGGTCCCGGACGTGCTTCGCAAAGACCAAGCTGGAGCTGTTGCGCGCCGTGTGCACCCACTTGACGGGCCTGTTTGGCGTCTGGCTCTCCGGGCTGAGCACGGTGTCCATGATGGCCATCAGCGGGGTGGCGCCGACGCCGGCGGACAGGAGGACCAGCGGCACGTCGGCCTTGTCGGCCTGTGTCACGTCGAGGAAGAACTCCCCCTGGGGATGCGACAGCTCAACCTCGTCGCCGACTTGGTACTCCTTGTGCAGGATGTTCGAAATCAAGCCCGTGACCAGACCCTTGCCCTTGTCCTCCGCACTGCCGTCGAGCACCGTCGCCTCGCGCTTGACGCTGATGCGGTAGTAGTCGCCCGTATGCGCGTCGCTGAGCGAGTACTGCCGGGGCTGAGTGATACCTCCCAGCTCGGGTACGGGGACCTGGAGAGAGATGTACTGGCCAGGCTTGAACTTGGGCAGAGGCAGCTTGCCGTCGACGGGTGCAAGATAGAAGCTGGTGACAACGTCGGATTCGTCAATGCGCCGGATGATCTTGAACTTGCGCCAGCTTGTCCACGAGCCCGCCTCGCTGTACATCTCGGCCTCGCGACCGATGAAGACCTGCGCAAGCTGCGCATACGCCGCCGTCCACGCGTCGGCGATCTCTGGCGTGAGCGCATCCCCTAGTACCTCCCCGATTGCCTTCATCAAGTGGGTTCCGACGATGTCGTACTGCTCAGGGCGGATGTACAGCGAGGCGTGCTTGTGGGCGATGCGCTCGACGGCGCCCTTGAGCTTCGGCAGGTCGTCAATGTACGTGGCGTAAGCCAGGACCGAATTCGCGAGGGCGCGCGGCTGCTCGCCGTTGGCCTGGTTGCGTAGGCTGAAGACGTTCTTGAGCTCTGGGTGGGTATCGATCATGTCCTTGTAGAACAGGGTGGTGATGGTCTCGCCGTGCACCTTGAGGACGGGTGCCGTCGACTTGACGATGTCGATTTGTTGTTGCGTGAGGCCCATCCTGGCAGACGAGGTTGCAAAGCTTCGATTGATGAATCGTTGGTGGCGGACCAGACGTGGCAGGAGACGAGATGTCTTGGAAAAGGCAGACATCTACCAGATGTGCGTCGTGAGGTAAGTGATGTATGATGATGAAGCCAGTGCTTCGGTCTGATGTTTCTTATCGTCCGTGTGTATGGAAGACGGCTGTCTAGATTCTGATGAGTGGTGGTAACACACTTTCCTCCCGTTTCATCGTTTCAAGCCGGGACACTGGCTTTATATGACGAGGCGGAAATCCCATCGGCTTGCACGACTCATCACCATCCATCTTACGCATCTTACGATGGTACCCCCGTGGCCCCGAATTGACAAATATCAGAGCGCTCAGTGGTCCCGATGGAAAGGTCCACCTGCCCGCTCCGGAGACTAAACCGCGGAGGGTAGAATGGGCCAAGGTGCCGCGAGGAAACAGGGACCAAAAAACTGGATATTCCGTAACATCCTCTTGCCGTGGCCTGACATCGGACCGTCGTAGAGTTTGTGCATCTCCGCGGCGGTCGGGGCCGGGCCCACCCTTGTTCAGGCACGCCTCGTGGCGGATTGACTCTGCGGAACGGCCGCCTGGCGGGACGCTTAGTGGGCTTCCGCTGGTGGGACGGGTGGCCGTTGCATTCTGGATTTGGTGCCTTTGTTTGGTACTTTCATGAAGCGGTGATTTACTCTGTACAGCGATGTTTACGCGCGGCAGTTTTGAAGACTTTGAGGTCTTGATGATCTGCTGTGGGGATTCTGCGACTTCACATGCCATTCTGCAACGCTGCAATTCGTCATGCAAGATCTGACAGAACCCACGGCCTCTGCAGTCTGAGGTAAGAGCCCATGCACGATGAGAGACTAAATGCCAGCAGCCAAAAAGGTTTCACGGGAGAAATGGCGCCAGAATAATTTGAAGGAGAGGCGGCCACGGTCGTTGGAAGCTCTCACCAAAAGCTGCTGCATTGGCTGGCAGTCGATCTCGAGCGTTCTGTTACTCAAAGGGCGCGCGCCGGTGCGACGAAACCACCACATGGCACCCAGACACCCACGCGACCGAAGGATCACCAAGCTTCAGCTCCCTATTCAGCCCCAGCTTTCGCCTCCAAGACGTTGAGCGAAATTGCCTTGTCTCTGACTCTCCCACACTTTGTTTCAAAGTTCTAAAACAATACACAATTGTCGCACCGCCACTCCCGCCAGACACTTTCCAACAAGCCACCTTGTTGTGCATGTGTGTACATACCTACGTGTGTGTTCCTGTAACGCCTGAAGGCAAAGACATTGATCACCCCCAATAAATTGAAACGGAATTTTCAAATGAAAACATCCGCCTCTTGTTCGCCTGCGTGCCTGCCCCCAGGCTGTTGGGCCGCCATCCTCTCGCACGTAAAAAGGTTCCGTGTTACCGAGGCGGACGTGATATTCCCGCACAAAAAACAACAAACGAGGGCTGAACTGGAACAGCATGGAAAAACCGCACATGGCATCATTGCACATGTGTACCCATGGACAAGGTTCCCGGAGAAGCTTCATTCGTTTTCCTCGGGAGTAAAATGCGTCGTTCCAAATCATCTTCATCATAGGACAATCCAAAAAGACGTGAAAACTTTTTGCAAGCACTGATGATTGAGGCCTGGACCCGTCAGCCGGTGGGATAGGACGACATTCCGCGCGCCCATCGATGAGGTGCTTAATGACAGCACAGCACAGCACGGCGGCCAGTCCCGCGCCGTCAGCCCTGGAAGCCGATCTCTGGGTCCCGTCCCACGCCGCAGCAGCGCTGTTCCTGGACCGCCTCGGGAACCAAAACCCGTTTTCCGCCCCTGCCACGCGCCCAAACTGCGCCGACAAAACACCCTACACTGCTGCCGCTGACATAATGTCCCCCGCGGAAACGAGGAACTTTTCGGAACGGCGTGAGCCACAGCGGTTCTTGGAGGCTTACCTCATACAAACATGCATCGTGGTCACGTTCCCCAGGTGAGAAAATGTCATCGCCCGGCCCGCCCCGGCTGGCTGAGGTTCTCCGCGGAGCTGGGAATAGAAGAGCATAACGGGGCTTTTGATGGATTCTGTGGACATGCCATTAGTTGCGTGAGCCGCAATTGGACCCTGTGAGTTGTGAGAGGATGCAGTATGTACGCTGAGCTTTCGATGCACTCTGGTTAGTGTAGAGCTAAGCCAGCCCGTGGACGTGGACGTGCTCCGGAGGGCGCGGCGGTCGAGATCAAGACGTGGATCAGTAAACTTAACGTGAAGGAAGAATGTTCCAGATATATCTCTGATTGTTAGAAATCTTACGGTTTGACATCCTCAGCTCCTTCACGCCCTCCGGCGGATCCGTGTGAGGATTGTGCGATCAACATGCAGAGAGTGCTCGGGTTCTGCATTTGTTTCCTGGAGTATTTGATATTGGATCTCATCAGCGTTTTCCATAGTACTAGGATATATGCGGAAGCATTATTTATATATGACTACCTACGCTTCGTTAGGGTTGGATATGGGAGGGTTGTGATATTGTTTCCGCGGCCACCCAGTGATTGATGTTTCTTCCTATTCTTATGAAGGCCGTGCATATATATATATATATAAATGTCACCGTGAATCATGCCTCTGAAGTCATCATATACGTTAAAGCACAAGCTGAGCTGAGTGCATAAACGGCATCATGATATATTCCGCGAAGAAGTCCTGCAAACTCTATAGAAACAAACACATTCATCATCTCAAACCCTCTAAACTCTCACGGCCTCGGCTCCCAATCCCAATACCCCTCCTCATCGCGCCCGGGCGCCCCCCTCCCGCGTCCCTCCATCGTCGTCCGATTCTGACAGCTCGGGTTGTAGTGATCCCCCCTCATACCAAACGGCCACATCGCAACGAAGCAGACCTCGTCCACCGCACAGCCAGGCCTGCACTTCTTCCACCCGCTCCAGTTGAGATACTCCTTCAACCCCTTCATCACCCCGCGCGCTCTCTCGACCGCCTCTCCGAGCTCGCTCCCGGCCCCGTCGATGGCTTCGCTCATGGCCTCCGCCGAGAACGCAGCCGCAAGCTTCGGCGCAGCGTCAACTAACATTCCCCGAGCAGAGTAGAGATCCCCGCAGATCCTCTCGAGTACGGTCTCGACAGCCGTGTGGATGAGGCCATCCTCGACCGTCCACTCGTTCCTCACCACCTCCGCGGGCGCAAGATACTGCCTCACGCACCTTTCCTTCGCGTCCCCAACCATCTCCTTCACCTCCACGTCGTACTCATCTCGCGGGTACATCAGCCAGCTGTTCGTCACAACCAACACCTGGCTCACGAAGCCCTCCTCATCAGCCTCATGCGCCCCCTCCTCCGCCAACGCCCCGATCCGGTCCGCGAACCTGCTCACCACCATATCAACCACCCCCTGCCACTCAACCACTCCCCCCTCATCCCGCATCACATTCTCCCTCACCCGCTCCATCATCGCCTTCCTCACGCCCTCCTCCAACCTCCCCAGCCGCGGCATATCGTCTCTCGCCGGATTACTCACATTCACAGGATACCAAAGCCCGCTCACCATGCCCCCGAACCCCACCCTCACCCGCCCGCCCCCGATGCCATCATACCTCTGCCCGACCGCCCTCGCCCACTCAAACATCGGCATGCCCCCCGCGCTCACCCACTCCTCGCTCCACGGCCGCCGCAGCACGCTCACCAGGTCCAGCCCGTCGGTAAAGTCGCAGTAGATGCTCTCGAACCCAATCTCCATCCGTATCACCCCGTCCAGCCCCCACGACTTCACGAGCGCGCAAATGTCCCCCGCGCGCTCAAACTCGCCAAACTTGGGCTGGTCCACCACCCCGCGCAGCAGAAAGTCCTGCGTGTCGAGCGTGCCCATGTCCGTCTTGCCCGCCGCCATCCCGTCGATGTACAGCAGCTTCAAGTCCCGGTTCGCGCGGTAGGTGTGGAAGTATCCCCTCATATTCTCCATCGGCGGCGGCGGTGGTCTCTCCGGCTTCTTCCCATCCCCATCCCCTAACCTTCTCTGCTCGTCTGCTTCACTCCCCAAAACCGTCGGCGGCTTCCCATTCCCAGGCTTCGAAGGCGGCCGTGGCGCAGGCCCCCCCCCGCCCCTCCAACTCCTCGCAAACCCCTCCGAATGCTCCATCTCGAAAGCAAGCCACTCGAACCCCTCGGGCGTCGAGTTCCCCCTCGCCCCGTGGAACAGCATCGTGCCCCGCGGCACCGTCGCAGGAATCACCGCCAGCCCGTTGTGGTGAATCGAGCTGCCCCACTGCCTCATCGCCGAGTGCACCGCGTTGAAGATATGCGCCGCGTTCTCGCGTGCGTGGTGCGCGCTCGGGCCAAACTCTGACGGCGCCGGAGGTTGCGCTGGTGCCGGCGCCGAGGCCGATGCCGATGTCGCCGGCGATAGGGTGAGTGCCAGGATGGCGGTTGATGAAAGCCGCACCATCTTCGATATCCTGTGTCGCGCGAGATGGGAATGAAGCGACGTTCAATATACCTGTGCAATAGAAAGAAACAAAAGAAAAAGAGAGAAGCAGGCAGTAGAGAAACGTCAGATTACGTCCCTGGGCTTATCTATCACTCCGGAGGATCAGCCTAGCAAAAGACCCTGGACGCGTGGCGTCCCACGAGTGACTGATTCGCGGTGAGACTCGAGATGTTGCGCAATCCGAGGGCCGACCGGGGGCGCGAGTGGACTCGTCGGAAACCGGCCGGCGGGCTGTCACCTGCTGCAGCCTGGGATCACCCCGGCTGGATCCTGCGAAGGTTCAGAACTTGTGGAAAATCATCGCTGGGAAGGATTAGCCGCAGCCTGAATAGGTACAGCCCAGCTTCCTAAACGGGTGTGGTGAGGTTTCCGGCATGGTCAGCTTCAATCGGCCACTAGTCTTGTGATGTCCAACGGTCAGAGCCACGGCACCATCACCAACGCCACCGTGACTCGAAACACCAACAAGTGGTGCATAAAACAAAATGGGGAAATCAATTGAGAATGCCTATGTCCCTGTGCTAGAATGACAGTGGAAGGAATGTAAGGAATACAGGTAATGACGACGATGGACGACGACGGACGACGACGATTGATGAGGACGACAGACGATAACGATAGATGAGCATGGGCGTTTATGATAGATGAGAATGATGGATGAGGGCGATGGGCGGCGATGGCGGACGACAGCAACAACAACAACAACAACGACGACGGCAATCAGGACGACGAAAACGAATTGTTTGGGCACAGACAATGAAGCTACTCTAGAATCATCTCGCAGTCTAACAAGTCCCAAACACTTTTCCCTTGATAAGACTCATTAACCGTTAAGCATTGCTTCGTCACTCATGTTCCTAAAACACCCGCTTCACTGGCCGTTCTGACCGTTCTGGCCGTTCTCGCCGTTGCTCTTGCCAGAAACAACTGGGATGTCCTTCTTCTGCGTAAAGTGACGCGGCAGACGGTTCTCTCCCTCCCTGTAGGGCTTGCCGGCCTCCTCTCTGGCCATGTCGTTGACCCATTTCTCGCCGCCGCGCAGGCCGGGCTTAACACCGACCTCGGCCCACTTCGCAGCCAGGTAGAACCAACCCAAGGCATTGCCGACCGTGCCAACCTCGTCGCTGACACCGTTTTCGGCCTCGTAGCTCATCTTTCTGTGCAGCTCATCGTCTGTGAAGAGGTCCACGAGGTGGCCGGCGACTGCCTTGTAGTCACCGGGCTCGACCAAGTAGCCGTTGACCTTGTCCTTGACCTGCAGGGGAATGCCGCCAGCCAAAGTCGCAATGACGGGACGGCCCGCGTGAAGGGCCTCCGAGACCTTGACCTCGAAGCCCTCGCGGGTGGACAGCTGGAGGACAACGTGGGCATTAGTAAGAACTGTGTTGATCAGCTGGTCATTGGGTTCAAGGCGCATGATGCTGCAGTCCTTGATGAGATGAGGGTAGTGCTTCTCGAGCTGAGCCATGGTCTGGTCGTAGATCAGGCTGGCATCGGGGTCATCAACTGAACCGTTGCCGCAGACAACGAGTTGAGGGATGTCAGTGACGCCCTTCTGCTCCATGATACGACGGAACTCGGCATAAGAGTCAATAACAGTAGGAATACCCTTGGACGGGTCGAAGCGGGCGACCTGAACGATGTACTTGCGAGCAGGCCACTCGAGCTCTGTCATGCGCTGGTTGCGGCAGGCATTGTTGTAGATGTGGCCGTAGTAGCCAGTATCCCATTTGTTGAGAGGCTTGTTCAGACCATCAAGCCAATCAGTGGTGGCTGGGAAGTAAACAACCTTCTCCCGCGGTACGTTGTGCGGGACGAAGATGGGAATCGGATGGCTGATGAACATGTCGGCATACTGGATGTTGCTCCACAAGAAATTCCAGATGTCCTCCTGAGGAGAGCCGGCCTTGGAAGTCAGGTCGCTGCGGATCTGGATGTGGGATCGGTAGAGAACGGGTCGGTCTGGGGTAATCTTCTTGATGAGAGGAATCAAGCCGGGCATTTGCGGGTCATCAATCTGTTCGACAACACCAGTCAGTCAAGGTTCAGACCCGAAGCTTCGGTGCACTGCCAGGTCGCGGGGCAAACACCAATACAGAGCTCCTGTGGGGATGATCCCACTTCCAGTGCACCATGGAGGGGTAGCTCAGGGAGTGGGGGTATGGAATTGGAGATGGGCGCGGGGAAGGGGATGAGTTGGAGAACTCACCATGACAACGTCGGCACCGCCCTCTTCAGGGGGACGCAGAGGACCGCCCTCAGACAGCCAGTAGCGGTTGGCATTGTCCGTGATCCAGTCAATGATGGACTGCTTCTCTTCGTCCGAGATGCGCTGATCAGGGTGGCTGACACCTTGGAGGATGTTGTGGATGTTCTTGGTGACCCTGAAGACGCCGGGCCTCGGCTTGGGGACTGGGTATGATGTCAGTTTCATACGATTTTTGACAGCTCAACGGACTTGTCTCAAGACGGAAAAAACATACCATACCAAGTCAGGTCAACGCCAATGAGACGCGCAAACCGAACGAGGGCGTGCCGCATCAAGGCCACGCCACCTCCCTGGGGAGTGCTGCTGAAGAAGGCAACCTTGATCTTGTTCTCGCGAAGCTTCTTGGCATAGTGCATGGTGGCATCCCAGGTCGCCGACCCGCACGTGTCCTTGTGGTTCTGGATGGTGTTGAGCTGGACGCGGAAGCCCGCATCAGTCTGGACGATACCCCGGAAGCCGACCTGGAGAAGGGGGACGAGAGAGGGGCCAAAGTTCCTGGGAGTGGACTGTCAGTGACGGGATCCACTGGATGTGCGACCAGGGTAGATGCAGGATGGGCGACTTACATGATGCACTTGCGGGCCATGGAATCAGCCTGCTCATCGACTCGCTTGATGTCCCAGAAACTCTGCTCCTTGTGCTCGTCGTCGGGACGGAGTACAACGGGGACAATGTCGAGGTCGAGCCAGAGGCGCGAGCAAAGGGTAGGGCTCATGTACTTGAGAGTGGTGGGTAGACCTGCACCGATGAACTTGGAGAAGTTTTCGTGCTCATAGCCCTCGAGGGTGTTGATCACGTAGTCGGCAATGGCATCGTTCCCCGTCTGGGTCTGGTCGTCGAGGTTGATGTGCTTGACGGTGAAGTCAATGAGGTAGACGGTATCGTGGATAGCAAGAGCCACGACGGCCGTGTGAGAGTCGGAGAAGACGGCCGAGATACCACAGTAGAGGGTCTAGATCTGTCAGTGACATGTTGTGAGGTTGATTCCTGGATGACTACCGTCAAAGCTGGGCCAAAGGCATTGCCCTGCTCGTGCATGGTGCTCATCTGCCTCTTGCGGTGGGCCGAGGTGCCCAGCGAGAACTGGCGACCCGGCTGCTTGTGGTCGGTTGGCATGATGGCGACGGTTGCTGTGTGTATTCAGATGAGGCCAATCGAGGTGGTGAAAACAAGGAAATATCAGCAGTGGCGTCTATGAAAGCCGTTCGTAGAGCTGATAGCAGTGGTGAAGAGGTGAATATCAGCAGAGACGAGGAGAAAGCTGGGTTTTGTGTTCGAAATGGGCTGCCAAGTCAAGGACGACGGGACCAAGGACGACATGGGAAGAGGAGACAGGGGAGCAAGAAGGCGAATACGGACGCTGGTGTGAGGTCAGGAACATGCGAGGCAGCAGAGGAGGTGAGTGGCTGGCTGCCTCAGGAAGTGATAATGCATGGTAAGGAACGGGAAACCACCATGAGTCGATCCTGCCGTGTCTACGCCGCCGGAACAGAACCATAGCGGAAGAAAGTACCAGATCAGAAAATGATTATAGGGAGGAGGTCCTTTCCCCGGCCGGTGATGTAGCTGCTACCCGGCGAGATACGTACCGGGGTAGCGCCACGGACGGGTACCGGTAAAAGAGGGGCCGCCCGTGAACGGCGGGGTGACATGCAAAACCCCCACCTCAGCTTTTACAACTGAACATCGGGCAAGGTCACAGTGAGGTCAGACTACTTCCTACCAACGATCCTTGGTCAATTCCTTGAGCTGGAAACGACACGAAAAAGACTAGAGCAATGAGGGAAAGTCCATCCATCCTGCAATCATGCCGTTGAGCTCTGCGCCGGAAGCCACGGTTGCACAGCGTGGTCCCTGGCCTAACGGTTCCCCAAACTACAGCCGTTAGTGTCTTGCCGTTTGTGGCTGCTCAAAATGCATCGTTTACATACCCAGCTCCTTCCAGATGTGCCAGGCCAAAGATGGTCCGAAGGAACTCCCATTGGGGAACTTCAAACCGTTTCTTCGCCGTTCTCAGCTCTACTGTGAGACATCAAAGCTGCCTCCCCCTCTCTTCCCCTCCATTAGATGCGTCGGTGTCACCACCTGCAACGGCCCCGCCAGCTTGCCTTAGTGCCCGCCACAGCGTAGCGTACCCTTCACTGTGCATCTGGCTGGGTGTTTCCCATTCTACCTCATGCCAAATTCTTCTCCATCCGTCGTGAGCTTCAACTCCAGCCACGACCACCTTGAAATTTCTCAAGCATTATGTCCTACCAAGCGAGCATACTCAATTACAAATCTCCCCGCTTGTCTCACGACCCTGTATTCAACATGCGGTGTATCGGATACCCAACCTTACATCCGACGCACCCTGCCGGACTCGTTCCCCCAATGGCATCACTATCCTAACATTGTCACCATGCCAGTCAAAGCACCACCCTTTCTTTCTTTCAACGTAAACGGCCTCGGTCACCCACAATGGAATTGTCGGTGAGCATGCAGTCTCTTTTGGATGCAATGCTACTCGATCCTTACAGTCGCGGGGGATGGTGGAAACGTCCTGGAAGCAGTCCCTACTGGCCCGTCTTTCATCGTCCACCCTCCAGCTCGAGGATGCGAATCCATGAGTACCAGGCGGTCGGTGACTACTGCTCGGGTCCTTCACACCCATCTCAACCTGTGCCATGCTCAATCTTACCTGGACGGCGCAATGCGGCTTCCGGCAGCCCTCTCGAGCCTACCATCTCTTATCCAGGCCAGATTGATGACCACCACACGAGTATGTCAGGGCATGCGTGGCGGCACCGGCATCGGATGCTCCTTGAGCATACGATATCACAAAATACGACAAGCAGCATCATGACTTCGGCCCCGTGCCTGATCTGCAGGTCGTCTGAGAGAGCTTCTTCCAACCGGGCAGGCCAACTATCAGTCAAGACAGTCCCAAGTTCTCTGAACACACCGAGGTGGAGAATGAATTGACGTGCATGTCATGTTAAGGTCAAACCGGAGCTGTACCCCAAGTCTAGCTTTGGTACCTAGCCTCGCCAGCATCCATTTTCGTTCAAATCCCTCCGCTACCGCACCAGCAGCTCTCGGGCTGCTGTGCAACGTGATTCTCGGAAGCAGGCACTTCACTGTGGGGGCCTTGGTCTTGCAGGGCCATGCAGGGCAAAACCTTGCTTGCTTCTGTTGGTCGCCCATCAATCTGCAAACATGATTAAACGCAAGCTGCTGGGCATCTCGAGTGGCTGATCAACTGACATTAGCCCACTCGCCTAGTTGTCTCCCGCCTCTTAAATGAAGGATAGTTTCTCATGCCCACTTCCACCCTCCAGGCTCCTGAGCAGCTTTTTCTCTCCATCCCCAATTCTACCCCAATCTGTGGATCCGTGCTACGGCTAACAGTGGACTTTGCAGTAAGAACCCCGCTGTAAGATTTGAACACAAACAACCCCCAACCCCGCAATGCTGCTACGATACCTGGTATTATGAACCCCTGCGGCCGTCTTGCAGCGATGAGAGGCCTGATATGAGCATCTGCAATCAGCGATGGAACAATGCCTGACAGAGAATTCGCGTGAGTCGCCCGGAAAACCTCGACAAGAGGGCCGTTTTGAAAAGAGGATATGCCACTATCAGCGCGGGACCTTTGGTCACAGCATCATACGATGCCCGCGTATCAACACGACTGGTCACCTTTCTGCATGACCTTCGCCGGTTTTCTCAGATCATTTCGTACAACCGTATAATTCTTGGCTTCGTTCATCGGCTCTTGCTTCTTCAGTCCCATTGGCTCGTTAGGATACTGGCGTTGTCCAAACCGTCTCGCCGCAGTGTGGCGCATGCTGGTTGAAATGTAACGATGCGTCGTCTGTGGGATTGAGTTTTCGGTGTTTACGAACATAGATGGTTTCTCAGTGAGGACAACGCAGCCCGCACGTTTCCATCTCACTCGGAAGAACAATGAGGCGCAGCATTGATGCCTTGCACCGTGATGGAGTAGGAGCCACAAGACAAAAATACAAGAAGAAGAAACGAAAATCCAGTGCTCTCATACATGAAAAGTTTATCTTCTGGCTGAACTTGGTCGAGGAACAGGTATATGAGGCGGATACAACCCAAGACCATGGACCGGACTTCGGATCTCACCTTCATCCACCGCCAAATCGTTCCTCGAGACGACCGACGTCCTAAACCTTCACACGCATTCATCAAAGTCGGCATGATGAATTCGCTCCAACATGCCGTCATTCCAGACGGTAACGAGCGACCAAGTGTTGCTCCTGCACGCAAGACCCTTTTTACGCCCTTGCCTTCGGAAGTTCTTTTCGAAATGATCGATGCGATATTCAAATGCAACGGTTCCCTCTCCTGGAAGGATATCCTAGCATTTGTGACGTCGACACCGGAGATACAGCTCGTCTTTCGCGAATACCGAACAATGTTCCTCCGCCGTCATCTCTCGGGAACACCCAAAAACCTCGGTAGTCCGTCCGACATCGTCGCGCGCTATACAGATGGACGCAACACATCTCAATACTCCGAGGATCACGGGAGATGGTTTTGGAACATTTGCAAACCGTTGTCCCAACTTTATACTCTTCTTGATCTCCCAGGAGATATCAAAACGCGCCTGGGATTGGAAGATTGGCACTGCAGTCCCAGGAACAAAGACGACTTTGTCGCGTTATTTTGCACTACGCCCTCGTGGGACCCGAAGGCGCTCACTGACTACGACCACCACGCCGCCTTGTGGCGAAAACGTCCAGCCCCCTCCAGCAAGAATGCCGACGAAATTCCGTTTCTCAGGAGACTCACACTACCAGAGCTCGAAGCACTGGAGGATGTTTGGCACTGGCTTGGGTTCTTCTACGTCCGCATCATAGTAGATGAGGGCTTACACCATTTAGCAAGAGGCCATGATGGAACCTGTCTCGCTAGAGGTGGAAACTTTCATTTTGTCATTCACTGGCTATGTGAGCGGGGACTAGAACTTTTGTGCAGGGTCATCGGCGCCTCGCCTAAGGGCCGGAGGGAGGTTTTGCGAGACGCCATAAATGTGGCCTACCAGACGAAGTACGACTTGGGCTACCCATTCTATCGAAACTTCGTTTTGAACGAAGGAATATGGTCAGAGATATTTCATCGAATGCGTTTTACGGCAGGTGCAGACGCTGAGGAAGAGTTGATGAAACACAAAAGATACCTTCAGCTTTGGCATCGGCAATGGGGCGCTGCTTGCGAGCCGGGCGAGCTGCGCCGTCATCTGACTATCGCTCAGTCGCAAATGTTGCTTGTAAACCATGGTGTAAGTGCAGACGAGCTGAGTGATGCTGAGCTGAGTGCGTTCCTGCTCAACCCGGCTCCGGTTGCGGCTAGGAGACAAAGGTCCATTGCCACTTACGCCAGTCATAACGCGACAGCGGAAGAAGAGTCCTGAATACATTTAATATGTTACCGACCATTACTTCCATGGGTAGGAGAACATCTCTACCCAGGCGCTGTACCATCGATGGTGTGCCTCTCTTGTCTGTAGTCCTTCTTTTCAGGCTGCCTTATCCTCTCTATCCCGCCTACACTTAATATGCCTCGGCAGGACGTGCAAGATCTCACGGCCATCTTAGTTGCCGCCGGCGGCCCGGATCCGACACGGACGGCCCCACTTGTGCGGAGCTGCTGCTGGGCCCCAGGTGCCGAAGCACCCGGACTTGCTCGGATTGTATGGTATTTAAATCAATGAAAGCAGAATACATTAAACTTGACAGCTTCTGAAGATCGCATCGAGGTCTTTTTAAAAGTTCCATGGAGAAGCGGTCTTAAGTACCGCTTGACCACCCTTGGTGGTCGAATGCTTGGGTGACAGAAGTGACAAAACGTTTGGCTGTGGACTTATCCATGTAGCCAAATATTTGAGAGTGAGCTTCATGGTCAACTACGGCAAGTGAACCGATTCAATTGCAGAGACGGCTTGCATCTCGATTTCTCAGCAGTGCATCTGACCTCGCTACAGATGCCGGGTTAGGTCTCCTGCAGCGGGATCGCAGCATCCGATGCCTGGGATGCCGGCACAATGCTCACTACCGACTTCTCGGGCCCAGATCCATCTTCATCGCTCACAATTTTCATTTGACAAATTTCTAGCCGTTCACCGCAGCATTCGACTGAATCTCACAGGGGCAGTCTCGTACCTAACCCATACATTCAGATGTACCTGACGGCTTACAGTCACATCTCACCCAAGCACCCAAGCACCCAAGTCAACACCAAGAGCGCCCGGGCGTCATCTCATGCTACCTCGACACCCCTGCGACAGCCAGGGTCCCGTCCCATCTGCCGCGGGTGGACAATGAAATACCGACGTCTTCCCACTTCCCACATCACCGACGTCAACCGGCTTCACACCGCCGCCATTCTCATCTCCGTCACCCGCCACGGCGCGCATCCATTCATGCCCACGCGCAAGATCCGGCCCTCACAATGGCGGCGCAACAGCACACCGCACCCGCCCCCGCATCCCCCGCACCCTCAAACTCAACCCATCAAGCCCCCATAACCTTCGACGATGAGACGATCGACGCATTCGAGATGGACGCCGACGACGGTTACGCCTCCGCGTCGCCGGCGCCGTCCCTCCACGCCGGGACGATGTCGCTGTCGCCGTCCGTTCGCGACTACGCTTTTGAAAACAACCGGCGCTATCACCGATACCGCGAGGGGCGGTACCATTTTCCGAATGACGATAGTGAGCAGCAGAGGGAGTTTATGAAGCACCTTGTGATGGTGCACATGATGAGCGGCAAGTTGCATGAGGCGCCTGTAAGGAATCCGCAGAAGGTGTTGGATATTGGGACCGGGACGGGGGTCTGGGCTATCGATGGTGCGTGGTGTCGTTTCCCTTGCTTTAGGCATGAAGTGAAGAGCTGAGTGAGTGGGCGAGCTGACAATGAGCAGTGGGCGACGAGTACCCCGAAGCAGCAGTCACGGGCATCGATCTTTCACCAATATGGCCAGACTGGGTTCCGCCGAACGTCAAGTTCGTGGTAGACGACGCCGAGGCAGAGTGGTTCCACGAGCCCGACAGTTTCGACTTCATCCGGCTGGGAAACATGGCGCCTTCAGTACAGGAATGGCCGAAACTTCTAGAGTCAGCGTACAAGTAACCGTCTCCCCCATCTCATCACACACGCAGGTTCGTCAGCTGACGTACGCTATAGAACGCTCAAACCAGGAGGATGGATCGAGCTACAGGAAATGCGCTGGGTCTACGGCTGCGACGACGGGACCATGCCGGATGACTTTGCGCCCATGAAGATGGTGGATCTCATCAGCCAGGGCCTGGCGCGGTTCGGGGTCGACATGCACGCCGCGGAACGCAACCCGGCGCGTCTTGCGGCTGCGGGGTTCACTAACATCAGACACCAAATGCGTAAGGTGCCTGTAGGCGGGTGGACGAGGAGTAAGTCTCTGAGAACGGTGGGGTTGTATAATCTGAGCGTTATCTACGACGGGCTGCATGCGGTGACTATTGGGCCTCTGACGAGAGGGCTAGGGTGGACGGCGGATGAGGTTGAGAAATTACTGGGGAGGGTGAGGACTGAATTGGTCGATCCGGGGGTTCATTCTTATGTGTATTTTCACGCGCTTAGTGGACAAAAACCATTATCATGACAGGTTGCTGTGTGAGTGCGACTGGTGTTGGAACGGCATGCGAGCGGCATTTGGGCTTCCTTGGTCATCAACTAAACCGTATGGAGTATGGTAAGTACTGCGAGCTGAAGGTAGCGTAAGAATACGTTCCCCATTTTCATAATTCCAAGGTTGAACGAGAGAGACCTAAAGCCATTGATATCTGGACTTCCTAGGTAACTTTAGACTTTTGCTACCTAGCTGGATATCAATAGCTATATAGGCAGAGAGTAATAAAAGGACACACATAGCAGCAAGCACAAAGATAGGGAAGCTAAAATAACTACAACAATAATAATAACAATAGAGAAAAAATGTAAATAAAGATAAGAACAATAACAATAAAATATATAACAACAGGTAGATAATAAATAATAACGAGGATTCTAACACCAGACGACAACGGACGACGATAATAAAGGACGACGACGGACGACAACAACAGACGACGACGACAGACGACGACGACGGACGATAATAACAGACGATAATGACGGACGATGATGACGGACGACGATAACAACAACAATAAGGATAATAATAATAACAAAGATAGCAACTATTAGTAACTCTGGCCTATCGCAGCGTTAATTAAGCTAGACGCACCTTATGTAATGAGTAATTATATAAAGCACTAACCTCTGTAATTAATATTATAATTATAGCTACTACCTCTAATATAGTTAACCTTATCTATATTACTACTAATATAGTTAATATAGTTATACTAACTTATACTTACTATATAAGTACTTTATCAAGCTAAGTATTACAAAAGAGAAGTATTTAATAATTAATATTATAGCTCTATAGTAGTTATATAAGCGCTATAAGCTATATAAAATATAATAGATTAATAATAATAATAACTTTATTAATACCTTTACTAAAGTAAAGTTTAATTAATACTTTATATATTTCCTTAATATAAACTTAGTAATAATATAGATAGAGGGATAATTTATATAAGCTTAAGTAGCATCAATTACTAATACTAGCTTAAAATAGGATTAAGTAATAACTATAGAGTAACTATTATAGTAGAGGTTATAAGTAATTATTAAGTAATTATTATAATTACTAATAATTACTACTTTTTATAAGTTATTATATATTATTTAATAACTTCTTCTTAAATTATATTATAGTTAACTACTATTAGTTAACTATATTAATATTAGTAAAAAGAGAAAATTACTAGTATTAATAATACTAGCCTATTATAGCGTTAATTAAGCTAAGCGCACCTTATATAATTAGCAATTATATAAAGCCCTAACCTCTATAATTAACGCTGCAATTGCAGCTACCGCCTCTAACACAGTTAACCTCATCTACATCACCACTAATACAGTTAATATAATATAATATTTACTGCTTATAGTGCCCTACTAGCTAGCTGTTACGACCCGTTATGCATGGATAACAGTTAACCGACCCACTTGGGCGTCGGGCGGCTAGGACAGGACATTTGTACTGCAGGATCACGGGAACAACAGGGACTCACTCGGAACGGAAGAACTATAGTACAGGTCACGTGA